TTTAAAGTAGATATTAGGGTTCATGTGGATGAAGATACATGCACTTAAGATTTGGAAAACTAAATAAGCAAAACAGAATTTAGTAGATTTTCTCATTCATTTAATACGATTATTTACTAGTGCTAGAACTTCTTCCTAAATACAGGCTAAGCTAAGGGACCTTAATTACATAGCCTACTGAGAAGATTAATATCCAGGGGTGACAAATGGACTCCTCCTTTCTCCAAAAAATGAAACTTTGTTTGAAAACGCAGACATTATTGAAAGAGGCTGCAAGTTTCCAACATTGCATGTAAGTAAAGAGAAATTGGCTCAGTGGGGATGTGCAAATAGTGCAGCATTTATCATATCCTCCACTGGGCTGAATAAAAGAATGATGATTGGGGAATGTTTCGTATGTTATAGCTATGTGAAATCTGCCATCAAACTGTTGGACTGCTTGCAACAGGGAGTAAGGGAAAATTTCATTGCTATTAAACCCAGATCTTTGGACTACTGGCTCTGTGGGGTGATGAGAGTTATAATTCAGCATACGTGTGTGCATGCTCAAGGCCTTAAACCAAGTGTTAAATCTTTCATCATCTTGTATGCTAGCATTTTGTCGGCCTGCTTTTTGTTTTTTACTTTAGAATGGTGCAAAAATAATAGCCATGGTCTTTTTTTTTAAGGGCCTCAGGGGTGTATCTATAAGTATACATTAATTCTTCAAAAGGCTTGGGGGCACATTATTTGCAACTGTGCAACTTTATCTAGGAAAAATAAACTGCTTAGAATTTTATTCAGTTTCAAAATCTTAAAGGTTCATCAGCGCCATCCTGTGGAAAGCTTTGTAAATGCGCAGCTGAGCTTAAACTGTTAGAAAAACAATATTGTGCGTTAATAAAATGCCTGACATTGTGTCAGTCCGCTAACAGCATTGTGAGAAGCAAACAATAATTAAATGATGGTCAGAAATCCAAACTGGTTGTAGTTTTTAGGATAGCTGCCTGCTAGAAAAATTGTACTTTCCAAATGAAATATCAAAAATTAAAGAGGAAAAGTCAGTAGAATTCCCCCCCGTTGAGAGCACCCTATTGAGATTCTTTATAGCTGCATCAAGGCAAGATTGTGTATTTTTTAATTATTTATTTGNACTCTGGCCGAAAGTATGCATGGAATCCTCCCTCGAATGCCAACCTGATAATAGTCATAGCAACACTTTAGAAGTTCGCATCTGTATTGTAAGAATATTTAAATAAGGTGCAACAATTTATTTTCTTCTGGTAGAGTTGTATTTTATACAATGTATGCTGGGTAGTTTATACAAACACATATTAGAGGTAAAATAAGTAAGAAAGTAAAAATAGGCATATTTATTATATGAAAATAAAGAGCCAAAGTGGTACACAGGTGAGGGTATTGTGCTTGGAGAGATAAAGATTTAAATTGCCAATGGACCATGGAGTTCACTGCGTGAGTTTGGACCAATCCTTCTGTCATTCTACCCATTCAGAAGATGATTATTCTTGAGATAAAAGAAAGGGGACTACAGTGAAATTTGTTTTGAAAATTCTAAGGAAAAGACAGGGCATAACATTGTGCATGTTCTTAAGTTATACTACTATGATTTTATTCATTCCGTGATGCTAGTTAAATCACTACAAAATACAATAGATTGATGGTTTGGTGAATTACATGCGGTAAAGACCAAAACCATTGGAAGTTTATAATTTGGGGGATGTTCTGGTAATCTCACTGGGACCTTATGTTCAGATTAGGCAAGAAAAAGTATGTAAGTACTTCAAAAGCCAGATTTGAGAGAATGTAAGCATAACATTATATGAATAGAATTATTATCATGATATATAATGTAGTTATGAACAAGAAATTCAAGATGTCTATATATCTACTTGCAAATGTGAGAATAATCTATGGCTTCTGCTAATGCCTTACAGGTGGCTTATATTGTAAATTCAAGTAGATCTGAAAGGAGTTGTTATCTTTAAAAACTAGTAGCAATGTCCCAGCAGTCTGATAACTAATATAGTTTAAAGCTAGGACATAGAATTGTCATCTTATTTCTCACTCCCATTTATACTTTCAGCACTATCTTTAGGATAGCATTAATACAGTGACTTTAAACTGGAATCTAAGAAAACCTTGGAGGCATGTGTGTTATTTTATGACATTTATATCGAGTATATATCACTAAAAGTTAGAAACAAGCCAAACCAATCTTCTGTTATCAGATGTCTGTAAAAATAGGTCAACTTTGTTACTGCAGTGGAATGCTGCACTCTTACCCTTTGAATGCAGAATACTTTACAACAAATGGAAATGTTCTGTTATCATTCTTGAACTCATGCTTCTTCTAAATCTCATGGAAAGTTCCTTTGTTCTAAAGACATTCCCACATTTTTTAAAGACCAAAGAGTACTTGCTAGTCACCTTCATGTCTGAAAATACCTAAACCTAGTATCACGTAACTCATAAAACTAAACCGTGATTTCTCAGAGATGATTCTTGCATTTGCTCACATTATTATAGCAGCAAATAATGAGTNGTGATTTGTCATAATTGTGATGATTATGGCTTACACCTCATGAAAACCATGAGGTGGTTTTTACTGTACTCTCTGTGCTTCCCACTTCAAATTTATTTAAATGGTGCTCAGACAGGAATTCAAGGACAGCACACAAAAAAATAGCTCTCCCATGCTTGATTTTTCACTTCATAGAATCTTTGTCCTAATAAGAGTGTAATACCGCACAAGAAAAGTAGCAAACTTATTTAATCTTTTAAAGTTTTAAATTAGCAAACAAATGTGACATACTTCGGTGGTCACAAAATATTAAAATGAGATGCTGCTGATCTCTATCAATTCTCTGTAGAAGTTATCTACCATAGTTGTGGCTAAGAATAACCTCTTCCAAGTTGACGAGCTTCCATCCTGTTCCTCTTAGATGTTAAACCAAGATACTTTATCTATCCAGCGGGCATGATACAAATACAGTGTGTATACATGAGTTGGTATAGGTTTTGGGATGATGGAGAGACTATTTTTAAGGGGGAAACAGTAAAAACAGCACAAGCTCATTAATAGGAAGCATTTTTTACATTTAATTAAAGGGTGGAAGGATAAAACAAGTTTCAGTTGAGAAATATCATTCCTGAAGATACTGCTGTTAAAGAATGTAAGGGATGAGGGTTTACTGCTTCAGTATATCTTCATGTATACAAGGGAAAGGAATGCTTCTCGTGCAAAAATCCTATACTGTGTATCCTTTCCTGCTTTTTGATGTACTAAATAACAGTGGTGGTAGGATTGGGGGTTAAGCATTAGTTACATGGAAATGTGTAGCTGAAGTGTTAATTGATTCCCTCTTCCTTTTCAATTCCACAGGTGTGTGAGTGTGTACACTGTAAGTGATTGAACAGCTCATAAGTTGCACAAACAATAGCTGGATGTATCGTTAATGTTTATGAGGGTTTAACAAGTTTATAAATAGTCCATTTCTCAGGTACTTTTGAGAATGACTCAATAGGATGTTGGCATGTTAAAGGAGCATTTCAATGAACTGCTATTTTTACTGGCTAAAAAAGTGTCATAGAAAGCCAATTATTATGGATGAGAACAAGTCACATCTCATTCTAGCATTTAAATTTTTCTGAACAGGCAATGAGGCTATGTCTTTGTTGTGAAGTTCCCAAGAGATGACCTAACTAATTTACGGTCCTCGAGACAAAGTTTTAAAAAAAACCATTCATTTATTAGGATCAACATCTTGGCTTGATCTTCTGTGGAGCCTAAACTGGCTTTCGCTTAATTGCGTTTGAATTTTACTCCTCTATCTCCTCCCTTCTGTCATATGTCATACATCATATTCACGAACTAGGTTGTAGAAATATGAGATCCGACTTTGGCTGAAGGTATGTATGGAATCCTCCCTCGA